GACCTATACAATTTTTTACTTTTTGTTTTTTTACCTGGATTACTGAGATGCATCAGGATTTTTTTTTTTTGCTAATTTTGCCCAACCCTAACATTTATACATGTACATACACGTTTACGTATGCTATATTATATAACTATAAGGGTTAATAAAATCCTATCCAGTGTTTATTTCTCACAGGCTCATTATGCAATATGAGGAACACTTTAAATCTAAGAGCTAGAGCTAAAAATAAATGAACAGGCTCAGATTATTCAATAAAATAAAGCCAGATTTAAAAGTTGCATCATAATGAATCCTCTTCAGAAACAGCTCTCAGTCCTCTGGGACCTTCTACCAGAACACCTGAGCTCACTGCTGGGTTTGGGATGCGGAGGCCCTGGGGCTTTTCTGTTTGCAACAGCTCAGAAATGTTTTAATCACATTTCTGCTCAGAAAGGCACATTAGTGAACGTTTCAGAAGTGCAGGCACTACATCATCGTTTTATACAGCAACTAATTCTCCCTGCAGTTCATCAGCTCGTGTCATTTAGATTTTAATAGAAATGCACCGAGAAGACTTTCTAACAACAACGGAACTCGTTCATCAACTTGAAAACCATTTCACATCTAAACATGTGAATAATTTATTGTGTCTGAAACAAAATCATGTTAGTCTAAGTTAACGTTAATGTTCTGCTTTTATGAGATTTGGATTTGTTTTGTTGAATTTCTTCTTTTCATTGACACACATGTAAGAAAATTTAGTGTTCGTTAACTGAAATCGAGACAAAACCACATAAATATTGAATAGATTAAAATGTGAAGGGAATGGAACCACACAACACCAGAGACCGGAGTGAGCGGAGGTTTAACACTGTTCGTTCAGTCATGTAGCCCACGCTGAATGAAAACCGGAAGTCCCGGTCAATAAATACACGTCTCTTCAGTGCCTGGTACGCCCCCTACAGGCCTACGGCAGCATCACAGACACTCTGAACAGCAATGCTCTCCTAATGTTTTTATTAATGGTTTACCGTGTGTTGTGATGGTGTTTCGGGCATGTATCGAAACTTTTTTAATCAAGATGAAGAAATTTATAGTTATTACAGGTTAGTACTGATGTTAAAAACACAACACTATATTTTTTTAGGTTTTCCTGTTTATAATGTTTACAATGTTTAATCTATTATGTTATGATTGATATATTAGTTACATGTCCGAAGAATATAACAACACATAATCAACCGTTATAATAACAGTAGGTGAGAATTTTGTCTGAATGCCTGTGATTCAGCCGTAGGTCAGCAGGGGGCGAACGCATTGAAGACCTTGTATAAACGGATCAACTTCCTGGTTTGTCAGGAGTGTTGGTTTCCTGTCAGCTCCGGTGACAATAAAKCCTCACTTGGCTCCAGAATTCTGGTGTTGTGTGGTTTTATTCCTTCTACAAATCATTTTATTTAACAGTGGTGGTTTTCGTATTGACTTCAGTCTTTGAATGCGCAATTTCTTACAAAGACATAACAACTGTCAAACAATGGATTATAAAAGTCAATAGTAAAAAAAGGAAAACTATGGAAATGTTGTGCTTTTAAATTCAGTATCTAACATGAATTTCTTCAAATTCCCCCTGTTCACATGACAATTAATCATGTGAACACACATTTACCAGGTATACTGAGTAAAGAGAGTAACATTATTTAGTTAAAGTTACAATGTTAAGATCTTTAAAAGCTTTAATTAGTGTCTATGTTTAACTACACATCTTCTCCTCAGTATAATTTGCTTATAAAATATTTAACTCCAGTCATCASTATCAGCATTGTAACTGTCTTTACATGTGAAAGCCTCACCTAGACCTGAGGAGAGGYGGGCAAAGTCCACGTCAATTCCCGGCAGTTTTCGACAGTTTCCCGTTCTGACAACAAATTCCTGCTAACAGCCCTAAATCTCAAGTTTCACTGCAATTTTCCATGCCAATAACTGCCGAAAATCCCAGTTTTCATGCAGTGAGTGTAAAATAAAAGAGGACAAACACAACTCCCCTGTCTTTGAAGAAGTAATCGAAGCTCAGAAAAGTCAGATTAGGCTCAAATAAATATGCCTGTCACCAACTGGACGGGACTATTAAAAGCTGAGGATGATAAGGACGAAGAATTGTCCTGCTTTAGCTGCTGGATAATATTTTTGCTCTGCGATAAAATTAGAGCTTGTCATTTACTGAAGGCTAAATGTGGACGTGATGTGATTCAACGGGACAGAATGGGCTTTTATGCMGCTCGTCTAAATTTGTCCTCAGAGGTAAATTTGCAATAAAGGTAGCAGGAGGAGATTATTAGCACCACGTTCAGTTTAAACTGTGTTTTTCTGTCAGGAAACGTGTTTGTTTAAATAAAGGAACTGTTTAATTTGAAGTAAATTATTTTACTGTTTTAAAATAAAGATTTTATTAACATTAGAGGTGTGAAATCCTGAAACTATTTTTGCTTCTTCTGTGGGATKAGATTATGAATATTTGTCTATAGTTGGTACTTTTCCCAAATAAGATGAGCTGTTTGCCAAATATGCTGTTTGTTTATTTATTAATTATTAATGTTTTTGTTTTAATTGTTATTTGTTACAATCCGACCATACATCCCCCCCAGGCCCCATCCCTCTTTTAGCCATTTATGTAATCAGTTTGTTCCAGAGATTTATTTTAAATTGCAGAAAGCGGCTTGACTCTGAGGGCTGTCTTCCTAAAAGCATTTAACTTCAGTCASATTTACCATGTTGTCACATAAATATAAGCAGTTCCTCTAACATGCTGCTGAGCTCTTTGTACAGAAACGGTTGCGTGTGGTGCGRATGATGGGAACAGGCCAAAAATATTCACAACATGTTTTAACATGAAAGTCATTTGGACACTTTTCTGTCAAATGTATCCAATGGTTTTTATTTGACTCTACTGGCATTTGACTGCAAATATAGTGACTGTTTTATTTTTACATCTGTTTCGAGAATTTTCTTTGATTATTCTACGTAATCTTTAGAACTGAGGAAAATATTTCAAGCTTTATATCTTTACAAAACCAGGTGATTTGTGCAGATATTAAAAAATTGTATCACTTAATTGTAATGCACTGTTTTAGTACAACAAGAGGATTTGGATGATTACACAACTACAGCGCATTTAATTTAGCGGCAATTTTAATACCGTCTGGATTATGAATCATCTTCCCTTTTTTGTGTTAATGGTTGTCTGAGACATCAGAAAAAAACTGGCACGCAACAAAAGTCCTTTAAAAACATTGACCTCAGACCACCGGTGCATTCTGGGATTATGTTGGACCAAAATAACCAGATAATGCATATTAGAATATCCACACTGAACATAGCAAACACTGTCAGGGAGCATTTGGCTAACAGGAAGTAATCCTGACTCTATGTGAAGGTGACATACAGGCTGTGTCTCWACTCATAGGTTGCAACTGATGTAGACCGTGGTTGACGTTGGCCACYGTCTACGTGGGTCGTAGGCCACTTGTGTCGGCTGTGAAATGAGACGGTCTAGTCTACAGAAAATGTATGCTTCATTACCATGGTGATACATTTTATATCACTTCGGTTGTTTTTTTTTAAGTTATACCTGAACAAAATTCAGTGTTGATAGAAAYACATTACAAATAAATAAACAAAGCATTAATAGTTTGGGTTTAGCTCCAGTATAAGGACTTCTAACTACATTTTATTTAGCATCTCATTGCAACAAAACTTTCTACAGCTAAGTTGCTAAACTTTCATTCTTCTGTCTGTGATAAATTTTTGAACTCTGCCGTAAAAAAAWAAAATAAAAAATCAGCCGTTGTTTTTCTGTTCAATTTGATGGCATAATGAATTCTGGGATACCGTCGGCTGTGTACCTSCGTACCTGGAGAAAACCCACTCCTGTACAGGGAGAACATGTAAACACAACCCAGAAAATTTTTCTAGCAATCTTCTTCCAATATGTTGCTCTACCAACTGTGCAGCCTAATTTTATATTTATTATATTATTTCAATTATTTTATAATATTTGTGAATGTAACCTCCTGAGAACTTACATCTTTATTTGAGAACATTGGTTTTAGACTGGTTGTCCGTATTC